TTCTGTATAATATTGCTTAACTGTTTGATTATTAGTTTGTTGATAATTTTTTAAACGTTGAAAAGCAATTGTGATTTCATAAGTTGAGGTATAGGCCTTCTTGATTTGTGTTTTAAATTCATTCCACGACATTCTAATTGATTGATTATCTTTATACCATGCTTGGCATCATTCTTCAAAAATTGTGGAATATACTGTAATCGAAGATCTTCAGGCCACTTAGAAGTAATAAACAAATGTTCTACTTGTTCGATCCATGTTGAAATATTTTCTTTTCCTGTGAATGTCTTTGGATTTTTGATAATATCTTCGATGACAATCTTCTGCAAAATATTTTCAACTGTATCAGTTGGAGAGCGAATTGCGAATGAATCGGCAGAAAACGTTGGTAAAGATGTTGTAGTAGAGCTCGACGAAGGTTTTCGATCGCCAACTTTTGTAGAAGAAGAGATGAATGGATTAGAAGAAGAAATTTCAATAAATTGAAGGCGAAATAATTTCACAAAAGTAGAAAAATTATCAAATTTGGAAAAATTTTCATAATACCAGATAAGCGACTGTCCACTAAATTTATACTTTGTATAGTATAACATCGTTTCTGGTTCTAAATCCAGTTCTCTGAATTTGCGAAGCAAATTCGAAAACCAACCTTCCGCGTCAGTTCCGTCAAAATTTGGAACGGTACTAATGACTCTTTGGGTTTCTTCTGCTCTCTGTTGTTCCGATTGTGACTGCTGATTTTGTTCTTGTTCCTGTTTGTTAACGATAGCGGAGGAAAAGGTGACGGATTGCGTTGTAGTGGTTACTGCGGATGGCATAGGCAAAGACGTTTGATTCAATAAAGAAGATAAGTGTTGTTTAAAATCACTCCAGTTATTTTTAAAATGACAATAATTTTGATCATGCCATTCCTGCAAACTTGTTACCAAATAATCATATGCAAAAGAAACATACATTCTTTCGTGGTATTTCAGTTTCTTAAAAACTTCTTCAACCGTTGTAAACCAACTTAAGAGATCATCAAACTGCTGTCCATCTAACACAGATATTTCGGTCATTAACGTTTCTTCCACCTCTTTGAAACTATCAATGTTATCATTTTTGTTGTTAATTATTGATGTTGAAGATTTGGAATTAATGTCAGTAGACGCAGATGTCATTGTTATTGTAGACGGAGAAGATAGCGTAGAGTTATTACTGGTCGAAGAAGAATGTGAATTAATTAACAAAAGAGTCGAGTTATTTTTTGATTTAGATGAACGAGAGTGCAATGGAAAATCAGTAAAAACATTTGTTGATTTTAAATTTGTATTCGATCGAAGAGATCGATTCATTGATCATGATGTTATTATCCAATCGATGGTATGAATGTTATTCGTTAGAAAAGTTTGTTAAAAATTCAAAAACAAACACGTGCGCAAATTGGTTATGCCTATAACTAGATACCTTAACCTTGCTATAAAAACCGATAGCTTACCGTACTTATTTAATTAAAATAATTTTGAAATGGAAGTAAATAACGTTAAACAATGATGTTAATAATAATTGAGAAGAATGAACATAAATATCATATGACAATAACGAATGTAAATAACAATAATGATCAAACGAGAGAAAAAGAAAACAAGAAGGTTTTAAACCAGGAGAAGAGAAGAAAAAAAAATCATCCGAACACAGTCCTTTATGGATGCGTCCTACCTTTAGTTGAACTAATAACACCAGGAAAAAAAAAATATCTGTTAACGGTAACAGAATAATAACGATACGAGAAGAAAGAAGAGTTGGATTTAAAGACGATAATACCCAGACACTACTCTAATGAG